TGTGTGATGTTTTTTATTTACATCGAGGAATAAAATCAGCTCTTTTTCTATTTTCTCTAAATATTCCTTTTCCTGTAATATTTGTGTATTTAGAGTCCATCTCATAGGTTTCCTTTTTTGGCCTTTCCAGGTTATTCTCCGAGGATTATGGTCTGCCCAGTGATTGGGGAGAATCTCTATATTTTCAATTTCTTTAATTATTTCTTTATTTGCCCATACCATATCTATTCTCGAAAAGGAATTGTGTGGATTAGAATAGAAAATATTTTTTTTTCCTTTGGGATATAATAACCTCCATATATCATTCAGATTCAGTTCTTCAGCCATATTAAAAAAAAGTTTTTGGCAGTACATTCCTCTTTTTTTTGTTTTTTTTATTGCAAATATAATCATCTCTTATATCTATTATTCCATTATAATCACCCACTATACATACATACATACATACATACATACATACATACATACATATGCATTACTGTTCTAGCCAGGGTTTTTCCTATGTAAATCAAGATGTTTGTATAGCCATAGTTAAGTGACAGCCCAAATCACTATTTTCTAGGCTTTATCAGACATTTAAGCAGCATTATGCTGTCTGCTGCAAGACTTAAGGGAGACTAAAATAGATCTATTTCTGCCTTATTTGGCTTCATCAGTTAGCCACACCCTCATTTTATGACTCCTCCCTGTAACGGTCAAATATTTACTTTGTTCTTTTTTTGTAGGTCTATATGTGCAAACATCTTGATTTACGTAGGAAAAACCCTGGCTAGAACAGTAATGCACATATATGTATATATGGGGAACTATACATATAGTTGAGGCGGACTGTACATATATATATATAGTTCGTCTCAATAATCATATCATGCAGTTTCCTATAAATTTCTTTCTGTTTTTTGTTGGGAGCGTAAATATTAATTAATAACATCCTAGTTTCTCCTCTTATCACTTCAATCAAAAGTACTCTTCCTTTGGGGTCCTCATAGATTACTTTATCTATTATTTCTTTTCTGATATACACCACTACCCCTCTTTTCCTTTTTTCTGATAATGCTGCAAACAAGTTCCCTAATTTGCTGTATTCCAGGTATTTCTTATCTTGTTTTCTAATATGTACCTCTTGAAGACATATATCTACATTCTGTTTCATTAATTTTGAAAGTATCTTTTTCCTTTTGTCTGATCATTCAGTCCATTTATGGTTATTTATGGTAGTTGGGTTATTTTCTCTGTTTTCTTATTTGTCCCCGGTCTCTGATTTCTGGTTGTCCTAGTAGTTCTTTGTGGTCCAGTCCTAATTTCCTATCCTTCATCTCGGTTTTCCATTGACACCCTAGTTCTTTCTTCCATTTCCTCACTTCCAGATCCTTGTGTTTGTTCTTCTGTACTAACTATCTCCAATTGCTCTCTACTGCTTGAGCTTTCCTCCACTCCTGTCAAGTGATCAAATAGTTCTTGGGCTTTGTCCAAATTGTCAATTTAAATTTTTTCCCCCTGCCAAGTTATTATCATTCGTTCTGGGATGACCCACCTAAATAGATTTTTTTTTGTATTCAGTAGTGATGCCAGGAACCTATAATCCCTCCTTTGTTCTTGTATCCATCTAGGAATCTGGTTTAGTGTTATTATTTCTGCCCCTTTATAGAATATTGGTTCTTCTCTTGTAGTTTTATATACATCCTCACGGATCTTTTTGCAGGCAAATCTAATATGTACCTCTCTTGGGAAGTGGTGACGTCTTGCATAATTAGTTTGAACTCGGTATATTTCATCAAATTCATTCCTAATCTCTTTTTCATCTCTCTGCAGGGCTTCAGCAATCAATTACGCAATTATCTCCCCTAAATTCTCTTCTTTTGTTTCAACTACATTCTGAAACCTCAAATAGAAAGAGGCTCGATCCATCTCAAGATCTATCAGAGAGTTTTCCAAATCCTTATTTACCGCCATTAGTTTTTGGTCTACCTGTTCTAATTTTTTTTCAGTTTATTCTGTTTTCATTTCGACTGATTTAATTCTTTGTTCATTTTTTTGCATTGCCTGTTGAATTGAATCCATTTTGGTATCTAATGTTTGTATATCCAATTTCAGGTCACCATGATTTTTAACCATGGTCTCTTGAAGTTCATCATAGTGTTGTACCAAGTTTCATCACTGGTATTGTTACCAGTGTAGATTGCATCATTTGGACAGATGAATTAGTATTAGGTTTTTCTACCAGGAGCATCATGTCTATTGTTTTCTGGCTCGACGAGGAGGCCATCGCCACCATCGGGTTTGATGCTGCCTTTCCCCCTGCTCTTAAGGTTGTGGTAGTAATGCTAATCATTTCTTTTAGGATTCTGCTTTGTTCTCCCAGAATATTATAAATTTTTGCCCAATTTACCATCCACTGTAATCACTGAGTTGCTTATCTATTATTTATAATTTATATATATTTTACACTCTAGTTTGTATTTCTATTGTATTATTCTTAATTACTTAATCAGAGATTTACAATTATATATCAATAACACAACATGTTATACAGTACAATACAGTATAATATAATTATACTGTACAATATAATTACAATCCAGTTACAAATTGTTCTATATATTCCCTCCTTTAATTACTTATTAATTGTTTAACTAATTAATTACTTATAGTAAGTTGAACTATATTAAATATAATTGATATAATAAGTATTTCTACTTTTGTATATTTAATTTATAAAGATTTATAAAAATTTATAACTATTTCTCTGTTGAATATGATTTCTTCCCTATAATCTAAATAATCAATAATCATTAATAATACTAATAACACTTAATCTATATATTTTTAGATATGATCTTACCACAGGAACAATATCAAATATCAAAACAAAAACAAAAAAAAATATTCAAAGGAAGGAAAGGGGGAATTTCTATTTCCAAGTCATTAATCACTGTCTATAATTTATCTGCCTTATCAATATTCCACACAAAACAAAACCTCTGTTATAACATTCAGTTCCCCCCCCCGATATTTCAATTTCTTTATTGATCTCGCTCTCGTTTCCGCAGCACCACTGTTCTCTTTTCTATTTAATCACTTAATATTACATCGTGTTATATTATGTTCAAGTCTCTTTATTCTTGCCATTCTCCTTTCTTTTTTCCAATCGCTATCTTACTGCTTTTCCTTGGCTTTCTTACTTCCACCAGTAGGATCCAATTTATCCTAGTCACTTCCTTTCCTCTTCACTTTTTCTTGTTGAAAATCATCAATTTGTTCTCTCTGATGTCGCTTTCCCCAAAACTCCAAATATTTCCATCCGTATCACCTCTCCTTTCCAAGTTATTCTTTTTCCATTTCTTTTCACCGTTCTCCTCTGCTCTCTCTCCTACATTCGTTTTCACGCTTACAGTCTTATTCAAATTCTACTTTTATTTTCATTTTCATTCATAAATACATAAAATAAATAAATTTTCCTCCCTCGGCAATTTCCTTTTTTTTTTTTTGTTATGAATCACAGCTCGCTCTCTCAGTCGCCGCTAAATTTTAATCAGAGCCTCTTTCCGTTTGCCCAAATAGCTTTTAAATTAACTTACTTTGACAGATCCAATCACCACACATGGGAGAATTTCACATCAGGGAAAATAGACACAGTCTGCTAACAATACTTGCTTCTGATCCTCTTGTGGGTTGTCACGGCCTCGGGTCCGCCATATCTGGTAGAATGATGGAACGTCTTCTCATTGGGTTAAAGAGGGCTTCCCTTGCTTCAGCGGGCGATTGCCCACTGCCACCCTGAACTCTGGGATTCCCCTCTGCTTCGCATGGCTCTTCAAGCTCCACCCGTCTTCAAAGGCTCCCCAATTGCGGAAAAATCAGAGGTAAAGCACGGAGTTCATCCTTCTCCTTCTGTGCCTTCCCGACAGCACCACCGGAAGTTGAGACAATATTTTTTCATGGGTGCTCTAAATGCATATTAGGAAAATTGGCTTGAAATTGCACACAAAATGAATTTTAAGTTTGGATAAGAAAGGCACAGTAACTTTATTTACACTCTCCTAATTATCAGGTCAGTTGAAGAGTGCACTTAATTACAAGGTCAGCAATAGTGAAGATTTTCACTGATCACCAAACCAACTGCTTTTGAGAAATTGGCCAACAGAAACATTAGTACAGAATATTAATATACTAATATGAAAGAGCTGTGTAAACCTCAATATTTCTCTGTAATATCCAGTTCCTGAGCAGCATACAGTTGATATCAACACAAGTTAATAATCAATTGAGCTCAAGTGTCAACATTTCTCCCAAGAAATTTTGATGTTTTGATTCAACTCAAATAAATACAATAGGAATGAATGTAGATTGGGAGACACCAGATCTAAGGTTTTATTGTGTATCTCTTGTTTTGCACAAGCAGATACAATGCAAATGTAAGGCAAAATATACTACTTCCTTCTTGAGCAGACTTCCTCCCCACCTCTCAGAATGGCTTGCACCTTGATTTGGCAAGGGTTGGGGTTTTTTTGTTTTTTTCCCCAGTTATGATAAAACTGTTTCTTTTTTTTATTTAGCTTCTGTCTATTTACAGTGACAAAAATAAAAACTTACTCAAACTCAATGGCAGTATTCAACTGCAAGATACTGTAATATTAAAAGAATAGGTAGTGCGTCCTATCATACAGCTAAATCGTTACAAATAAGTAATTACAAATAAATCTGCAATAAAGTTCTTTATTGTTATTGTAAAGTCAACTTTGATTCTCCAGAATCCAGATGCTCTTCCTTTACGCCTCCACGTTCAGTTAACAGATAGCTTTATCATAAATCATCTTACATTCTTATAGGCTAAAACTAAGCAAAATGCAGCTGATTTTTAGTCAAAACTAAAATTCTTATCAATATTGTACTGAATTGAATTGGCAAAAAAAACAAAAGTTTGTTCTCTTTCTTTCCAGACAAATCAGCATTTTCCAAGCTGTGTTGTGATGCTTAAAATCGATTTGTTAATTTTACAGATTCGAAATGTGGCAGCTAATCTCTGTATGGACAGTAAGCATGGTGGAACAGGCACTGAACTCAGACTAGATATATGTGTGAAGGATGGTTCTGAACGGACATGGTCACATGAGCAGGTATGTTGAGACAGCAAGTATATTTTAGGGATGTTTTAATTATTTCATGCATTGATCACACTAGAAGTTCTTAGAATTATAGGGCTTGGAAGGAACTTTGGAGCTTCTGCCCAAGACAAGAGACCTTATTCCTATCCTTGACAAATGGCTGTCCAATATTTTCTTGAAAAACTCCAGCAATGGAGCACCCACAATTCTGGGAGGCAAGCTGTTCTGTTGATTAAGCATTCCCACTGTCAGGAAATTTCTCCTTAGTTCCAAGTTGGAACTCTCTTTAATGAGCTTCCACCCATTGTTTCTTGCCCTGCCCTCAGGTGCTTGGGAGAATAAAATAAGCCTCTCTTCTGTAAGCCAAAACAGTCCCATGCTGCATTAACAGAGGGATAGAATCAATATCATGTGTAGTGTTTGTGTTTTTAATTAGGCTGTACACCGCCCTGAGTCCTTCGGGAGAAGGGCGGTATAGAAATAAAATAAATAAATAAATAAATAAATAAATAAATAAATAAATAAATAGTGTTAATACCACTTTATAATGTCTTGGTAAGACCACACTTGGAATACTGCATCCAGTTTTGGTCACCACAATGTAAAAAAAAATGTTGAGACTCTAGAAAAAGTATAGGAAGTGCAACAAAGATGATTAAGGATTGGAGGCTAAAACATATAAAGAACGGTTGCTGTAATGGGGTATGTCTAGTTTACTGAAAAGAAGAACTAGGGGTGACATGTTAGCAGTGTTCCAATATCTAAGGGCTGCCACAAAGAAGAAGAGTCAAGCTATTCTCCAAAGCACCTGAAGGCAGGACAAGAAGCAATCGATGGAAACTAATCAAGGAGAGAACCCACCTAGAATTAAGTGAGAACAATTAACCAGTGGAATGAATTGCCTCCAGAAGTTGCAGGTGCTCCAATACTGGAAGTTTTTAAGAAAAGACTGGACAACCATTTGTCTCAAATGTTATAGGGTTTCCTGCCTGAGCAGAGAGTTGGACTAGAAGACCTCTAAGGTTTCTTCCACATCTGTTATTCTATATGACAATCCTCAAGTATTGGAAGACAACTATAATGTCACTCCTAATCTTTCTCTTTCCTAAGCAAGAAAAACCTAGTTTCCTTTATCATATATCATAGGTTTTAGCCTCCAGATCCCTTATTATATTTGATGCTCTTCTCTGGACTTTTTCTAGGGCCTCAGCATCTTTTTTGTATTGTGGTGACCAGAACTGAATACCGTATTCCAAGTGTGGTCTCACTAGCACTGTCACTTCTCATGATCTTGATGCTATCCCTCTGTTGATGCAGCCTAGGACTGCATTGGCTTTTTTGGCAGCTGCAGCACACTGCTGGCTCATACTTAAGTGGTGGTCCACTCAGACATCTAGAACCTATTGAGCCAGGTATTGCCCATTCTAAACCTGCGCATTTGATTTCTCCTGCCTAAGTACAGAACCTTACTTTTCTCACCATTGAACTGCATCTTGTTAGATAGGGCCCAATACTCAAGTCTATCAAGACCTTTCTGAGTCTTGAGTCTATCTTCCAAAGTGTTGGCAATTCCCCTTTATATCTCTTGATCTAGATCATTTATGAAGATGTTGAAGAGTATTGAGCCTAAGACAGAACATTGAGGTACCTCACTGCGTGCTTCCTTCCATATAGATGTAGTTCCATTGAGGACTACATGCTGAATGCAGTTGGTCAGCTAACTATGAATCCATATGATGGTGGTGCTGTCTATCCCACATTGTTCTGTTTTACCTAGAAATAGGCTGTGATCTACTTGGTCAAATGCCATGCTGAAGTCCAAGCATTTTCCTGATCGACTAATCACTTTATCAAAGAAGGCATTTTTGCTAAATCAGAAAACATTATCTCAGGCCTTGAGTTGACATAAAAGTAAGTTATCATAATTTGCACTTTCCCAGTAGCCTCAGTGACAAGGCTGGTAATTTGGTGGTGTTATTACAATTTTAATGTGGGATAACCAGTAATTAGTGGACTTCCCTGGCTGTATTGCCCATTTCATCCAGAATCATATCACAAAAAGGAAAATAATTATTAATTGCTGCCTTTAATGTACCTATTGAGGCAGACTTTGGTGAGTGAGAGTGGTTGCTTGGGATGGAGATGGGGATTAACTATCTTTCAAATTGCCTAAGGGGCAGCTTACCAATGTGGACATATTCTGCACTGCTAAATTGCCAATCAGATTGTTTCTGAGCATTGGTTTAACATTCTTCAGTGCCCAGAAATAGTACTGGGCCTCTTTGTTTAATTGCATATCTAGTGCTCTTTGGAAGAGAATCCATATCTAGAAAGTAGCCCAATATGTAGATATTAAGTGCAGGAGAAGGGTTGAGGGGAGCCTTGGGAGAACTTGATTTCATTTCAGTCAGTGCCTCAGGTGACCCATCAGTCAAGCACAGACTGCTTGACTGGAAGACTGTTGAAGACACAGACTGTTGAAGGGAACTATCAGCAAATGCTGCAAGGAAATAACAGTGAATGAATGTAGCCAGAATCACCCAATATATTCTACAACCCTATGATACTTTCTGACCTGTTATTTAGGCTTACAGGTTAAATAAGCAAAACTCCTATCAGTTTGAATCCAGTTTCCATATCAATGATGTGGAAGAATGGCAGTGCTGGGCAGTTGATTGCCACAACTGGAAATACCCATAAACAGATATGGGCTTTGTAAAACAATGTTAGAATAGATAAATGAAATAAGTAATAAAGTCAATTAAAAATATATCCATGTAAAAACTTTTTGAGGGTTTTGCAGGAGTAGCAAAAAAAAGAAAAAGAAAGAAAGAATGCACTCATTTGGGATGGACTCACCAACAAACAGCTAACAGAATCTGACTCTCTTTTCCAGTTTAAATTTGCTGGTCCTTTCTAAATTCATTGTATACCTCATTTAAAAGCCCATTAATCATATGTTTAAAAACAGTCGTAAGTCTCTTCCAAAAGAGAGCTAAAATCTGTGTTCATAGGATGTCTGGCATTCTCTAGATAGATTCATCTGTGGAAGTGGTATATCTGAACTTGTTGGAAACTCAAGCCAAAATGGTAACAGATGGCAGTGCTCAATGATCAACAGGGTTGGGGTATGTCTGTAGTAGCCTCAAGAGGCCAAGACAAACTGAGTGGCTCCCTGGCCTTGATTATGTCATTGCTATCACTGGTGTTCTTGTACCAAGTCTTCTGTCAAAAAGAGGAGGAAAATAAAGACAAATTTAAACTGCCTCCGTAGTGATCTTGAGAAGAAACAAAGACTGCATCATGAGGATAGGTGTTCTAAAAAGTGTTAATGAGACATTTTTGTGAAGGGATGTAAAGATTACCCTAGCTAAAACATGTACATCATATCCATAGAATTATACATGGAAGAGTTGTGCTTTGTTATGAAAATGGTCTAGAGGAACAAAACGTATGAAGTTATTGTATAGCTAAAGTGCCATTTGTGAACTAATATTATAAAATGTGTGTACCATATTAAGTTCTCTAGAGAAGACATTAATGAAAAGAGATAAAAATAAAACTGAAAGAAAATGTTTGTGTTTTTTTAACTATAGACAAACATTTGGTAAACATTGGACAAACTCTTCCCTTTTTTGTTTCATGAAATATTAGTCCTGAAAATTGCAGATATTTTTTCTTTTTTCTTTAACATATTTAGAAACCACCCATCTTCATCACAGAAATATTTTATATTACTATAATTTTTCTATTGTATTGCATTATTGCAACATTAATGCAGCTTGCATTTGATAACTGTTTACAAGACTGCATCTCCATTAGTGAGTTATACCATTTTATAGAATTAGACAACATTCTGTTTGCCAGTGTAATGATAACCCAATTTAATATTATCACAAAATTTTTGGGTGATTACTTTACATTTCTTCTAAGGAAATGGCTTACAGCAACATTAGTGTAAAATGTTTTGGTTAACAGGACCCACTAAAATATCAGAATTATGAGCATGTTTTTAATTCTGGAAAGAACATATTTATGCTATTTAAACTATTCCAGTATGCTGTAGTTAGGGTGTTGAATAGAACTGGGAAGATCCAGTTGATGTTGAATCATGGAAGTTCATTTGATGATTTTCATTTTGAGAGTTTGGAAAAAGTTCAGAGAAGAGCAACTAAGATAATTAAGCCCAGAGTTTAAAACATATGAAGAATGGTTGTAGGAATTGGGTATGATTAATCTAGAGAAAAGAAGGACTAGGAGTGCCATGATAGCAGTATTCCAGTATTTAAGAGGATGACACAAAGAAGAGGGTATCAATCTATTCTCCAAAGCACTTGAAGGCAGGATAAGAAACAATGGATGAAAACTAATCAAGGAGAGAAGCAACTTGGAATTCAGGAAAAACTTTCTAACAGTGAGCATAATTAACCAGTGGAATAGCTTGCCTTCTGAGATTGTGGGTACTCCATCCCTGGAGATCTTTAAGAAAAGACTGGACAGCCTCTTGTCTGAAATGGTATAAGGCAGTGATGGCTAACCTTTTTGCCATCGTGTGCCAGGAGCAGGGGGAGGTGTCATGCACACGTGTGCCCACACCCATAATTCTATGCACCCTGCCCCCACGTATGTGCGCACGACCTCCCCTGCTCCCCCCGCTCCTGGCACGTGATGGCATGGTAGGCCTGTTTTTTTGCTCTCCTCAGCCTCCAGAGCTTTTCTAGGAGTCTGGGGAGGGCAAAAACGGCCTTCCCCACCCCTCCAGAGGCTCTCTGAGGGCCAGAAATGGCCCGTTGGCCTCTGGAGGACCTCTGGGGTGGAGGGGAAGGCTGTTTTCGCCCTCCCCAGACTCCTAGAAAGGCTCTGGAGGCTGGGGAGAGAGAAAAATGGGCCTTCCCTGTTACAGATGAAAATACCTAACCTGATATCTGTAAATATGTGTGCTTGTGTATATGTCATTGTGTGATGTCATTGTGTCACTTACCATTGGTTACTACTTACCATTAGCCCCGCCT